ATATGTTATATATATATATATATATATATATATATATATAGTATTTGCTGTACATTTAGTAAACACACATTAAAATGGTGTCGAAGAGACTTACTGAAATATAAACAGCAGCAAAGGAAGAGAGGGTTGCATGCTGGGAAGGGAAGGTTTTCCTGTCATAAAGGAAAGCAAACATCTAGAGTAAGTCTAGACCAGATATGCAGCAGAAGTCAATGTCAAATGTTTATAGGTTTAAAAAAGTGGTGAGTAGGGAGTGCTCTACAGGAAGAAAACCACAAAAGGGAGAAAGAAAATGGTGACCGTACAAGGCTGTCAAAGTTGATCACAGTAAATCACATAATCAGATGTTATTCGGTAACTAAACATGCAATTACCTGGCAGACAGAATAGCATGCTGATCCTGGCCAGAGCAAATGTCTTTGCGAATTACAGTACTGCGCACACAGTGGCAAAGCTCGCACGTTAAATGTAAACCTGAAGAAATGGCAAATTCCAAACTCTAGCACAAAAAATATGATTGTGTACACACATATACATGCTGTGAGGACAAATAACAAAACCGCGAGCAGAAGCCACACGCGCGAGTAATGTCTACACTCTAAACACACGCGCGAGCTGAACCCTTCACGCACAGGAAGTTTTGACAGGCAGGGGACGGGGCCCAAACATATGCTTGTTGTGTTCGCAAATGCTATTGGCTGCTGGCCAAATCCTGTATTGATTGGCTGCTAGTCGTCTGACTGATAGATATGTATACATACAGTATGTATGGTCTGACTGGCATTTGTTGGCCTTCTCCTGACAAGGACGAACGAAACGAACAGGAGGACTTGGAATTGGATAATGGCAGACAGTAAAGATAAAATAAAGTTACTGAACTGGCAACATTAACCTATAATAACATGTCATAGATGTTGGCATCAGCTTATCATAATCATTGTTTTACACGTTAATGAGGGACAAAAAAGACACTGACTATTTAGAGTGAACCAACTAAGGAGGTAGCACATTAAGATTTGTTAACGATCATGTTAAAAGATATGAAACGAATTTGTAAAGAAAGAAAACTTACCTCTTTACTGTCTGCCATTATCCAATTCCAAGTCCTCCCATTTGTTTCGTTCGTCCTCGTCAGGAGAAGGCCAACAACAGCCAATCAACAGCCAGTCAGACGACGAGCAGCCAACCAATACAGGATTTGGCCAGCAGCCAATAGCATTTGTGAACACAACAAGCATATGTTTGGGCCCCGCCCCGCGCGTGTGGGTTCTGCTCGCGGTTTTGTTATTTGTCCTCACAGCATGTATATGTGTGTACACAATCATATTTTTTGTGCTCGAGTTTGGAATTTGCCATTTCTTCAGGTTTACATTTTAACGTGCGAGCTTTGTCACTGTGTGCGCAGTACTGTAATTCGCTTGCGCTGTTTTGTCCAACTTTTAACGCCATAAGAAAATGACAGAATTATACAATTGTTCATCAAAATTTGACTTTGGCATGTGTAAATGTAATTTGAGGACGATTAAATCTAATACATTTATTTCAGATATTAAATGTAAACAAATATATAACTTTGGCCTAAGGTTGTGTCTTTTCTGTGGAGAAGCAAGTTATTAAATTTTGACAGAATGTAAAGAAATTAGTTTTCTTTAGAACAACGTGCCTATGTTGACTTTAAAGAGATTGAATGAAATGAAAATTCTGTCATCATTTACTCACCCTCAAGTTGTTCCAAACCTGTATGAGTTTCTGTTGAGCACAAAAGAAGATATTTTGAAGAATGAGGTAACCAAACAGTTGACGGTAGCCACTGACTTCCATTGTATGGAAACTAAATACTATGGAAGTCAATGGGGACCATCAACTCTTTGGTTACCTCATTCTTCAAAATATCTTCTATTATGTTCAACAGAAGAAAGAAGGTTGCAGGTTTGGAGCAAGTGGAGGGTGAGTAAATGATGACAATATTTTCATTTTTGGGTGAACTATCCCTTAAACAACCCTGACTATTTAGGTCACAAATGTTACAAAGAATTAAATGCAATGAAGTTGTCGTGATTGCTTTCATCTCACAGAGGCAGCAGGGCCGGCGAACGCCAGACTCAGGAGCATGAGCAGAGGGATGAGCTCATCACCGCTGTCCACGAACGGCATGCTGAGTGACCGGTCATGGCAGCGGAATCCCACCTGCGCCGGCTGGAGCACATCCGTCAGTTCCAGAAAGTACAGTGACACCATGGAGGACGCCACAATGGGTAGCTATTTTCTCAGGAGAGAGAGAGTTGTGTATAATGCGATAGTCTTTATCAATTTTAAAAGTACTAAATTAACAGTTTTTCTCAAGTATGAACAGATAGTAAATATTGATAATACACAAACATATCAACACCAGAGCACAGTTTAATTACTGTAGAGTAACTGTGGCAGATGGCTGTTAAACATCAGCACAGAGTACTGTACTCCAGGGCTGACAATGTGGTGGAAGGTAAACACTGTAGCACACTCAAACTGACTGCTGTTATGCATTTTCAATGATGTCTTCAAAGAAAATGAGGAAGCCCAGTTGTTTAGAGTGTGTAATGTAATTACCTGAGATTAATTGCTCTATTGAAGTATTAAACTGGTAATAAATGGTGGCACACACCTCTACAAAATAGAAGCATGGTAGCAGCGTCAGACTGTCTTTGGGCGGTTTCTTCTTGATTTTTTCACGTGCAGTCATCATGGTGCTGGTCTTCTGAAGTTATTCTGTCAACACATGAGTTCATTTTAAGAACCCCATTAAAAGATTTGACGTTATCTATATTTTTGGTCTGTTTTTCCCAGAAATTCTTATAGCTCCCTAAATGTCTATATCTGCTTACATTTTAATTTTAAGTACATTTTGTCCATTCTAGGAGTTACAGTATAACTCTAGTATACTGTAATCATCTTTGTTTTATTTAAAACTTTGAAATATAATTTTTACAGTGTGTATATACTGTATACACACACAAATATATATCGCTGTATAACTGATGTAGGCTTATGTGTTATTTCATTTTTCCTTTTTTATTCGAAATATTCCCAAACGTGTTAATTATATCAAGAAAGAATTATTCTGGAATAAGTAACAAGCGTGCGATTAAGTACATGTTATTATTATTATTATTATTATTAGAGAAGAGTGAGAAGCGATTCCCTTCTTCAGCATCTCTGCATACACAACCCCTGCATAAACAAAAATATGTGGCCTTTGGTTAAATTCTATCCACAGGAAAAGGCCTGCACAAAAATGTTCAAATTATTATTTTCTCATCTGAATCAGAATGAGGCCCACCTGAATAAATGGATAACAGACTGTGTGCCTGAGGAAAAAAATATTAAATAAACAGCTCCTTTCAGAATATTCTCAAAAGAGCATAATGAACAAATGTTGATGTGGGCTATTGTTTGAGCAGGCATAGAGAGAATGTTTTGTGCTCTCTGCCAAATCAACTAAACAAGGCACTTGAAGACTCTCCCAACTCTCGAATGGGAGTGAGCGAGGCTCTGCTGAAATTAGCAGGGAGCCTGTTTTCAAGACTGGGAGCTCTGTTTATCTCGAAGAGCCGCATATGTCTCACAGACAAAAGATTTCTCTCTCTCTCTCTCTCTCTCTCTCTCTCTCTGTATGTGTGTGTGTGTGACTTTTAGGGAGGAATCCATAGGCACTGAGTTCTTTCCAAAAAAGACAGTGTCTGTGCTCACACATACTCACAGCACGGGGCTTTGACTGCGGAGAAAGTTAATTAAACTTGACTGGGTTTCTCACACAAATATGTTTCCTGTGAAAGTGGGGTTAAAGAGTGAGTTGTGCAACACAGCTACTTTCTGACCCTGGTTTGTCCCAAGAATCCAAGCAAATTGACCCAAGACACTGCGGAACAATACATGGGTCGATAAACATTTCAAGCCACGATAACCAGTCAAGGCAGAATTATTATACACTTGAAGTGAAGAGACTCAGGAAAAATCAATAATGTAATCAGATAAGAATGAGACAGATCAGTCTCACTAATGTTCACACATCATGAGAAAAGTCACTGATGATGAAAAATATGGCAAAGATTTCACTGGCAATTCTGATTACATTGACACAATGTAACACCTTGATTATTTTTCACGGAATAGAAATGTCATATCATTTAATATGAATATAATCTAATTTAAATTAAAAATGTATTTTTGAATTTTAATTATATTAAATGATATTAATTTAAATTAATATAATTTAATCTAATTATATATATATTAATATAAAATTAAAAAATGTATATAAAATATTGATTTATATATAATATTATGAATTTTAGATAGATAATTACATATAGGCTACATAAAATAGTAATAGTAAATATAATAATATAAAATTTTATATATAAAATTATTTATATAATGCTAATATTATTACATTTATTAAATGTAAATAGAGATTAAAGAGATCCGCACTCATCCAGATTCAGCCAAAAAGGCTTATTATATTTGGCACTGAGGAAGGGTTAATACCCGAAAACGTTCTGCACCTTTGCACTTTTTTGAACATATTTTTGTGACCTCTGAGCAATAAATATAATAAGCCTTTTTGGCTGAATCTGGACGAGTGTGGATCTCTTTCATCTCTATATTATTGTATATTTTGGATCTATGCACCTTATGTTATTTGCCTACTGGAGTTTTGGACAAGTGTTTGGCTCTACAACCTTTTCTAATTGTGGATTAAATATAAATAGTAAATACAGTAATATAAAATGTTATGAATTAATTAATGTTAAATAAATCATAAAATTAATATAAAATATTAATTTATATGTAATATTGTGAATTTTAGATAGATATATTATATATATAATGCCAATATTATTACATTTATTAAATTTACTAGGCTATATAAATAGCAAATACAGTAATATAAAACTGGACATATTCATTGGTATAAAATATATATAAAATATTAATTCATATGTAGCCTAATATTTTGAATTTTAGGTAGGTAGGTAGAAACAAATAAGTATGCAAAATGACTGACTGTGTGACTATGATTGCAGTGGTGAATAGAATGGCAGGAGTTTTTTAATCGCTCAGGAATTGATCAGGTGTCAGATGAACTGAGAGCTTGAGAGAATCACTGGCCATCAGTGCGCTGAATGACCTGCAGTCCATAACGAGATCCATACTCATGTTTACATAGATTTGCCTGCCCAATATCATCTTGACTCACGCTGTAAAGTGCGACTGAGATGTTTTTTGTTATGTAAAACTAGAATCGCTGCCGTACAACAGTGTCACTGCGACAACCTCAGTGATCATTTATCGTAATAATACCGCATCTCCACTTGACGCGACGCGACGCGACCGTACCCGCGCGCGCTTTAATTTCCTCACAGAATTACAATGGCAGCGTTCTGGTCGCGTCGGGACGTTGTTTATTCTGCTGCTGTGCATCATGCAGGTAGAAAACCGGGAAAATCTCACCTTGACTGCAAAAAACAGGCGATTCCCTGACGGAACGGGGATATCCTGAGTGACAATTCCCAGCGTATTCCTTCTTCACGAGGTTTAGACTGCAGCTCGTTCAGTTCACATTCCTCTTTCTGCTCACGTTTTCCACGGAACAATCACGCAGCCGTGGACTCCTGTTATGTGCCTGACTGCTGGAGCCAACCACAATATTCCTCAACTCACTGAGCTGCTGTTCCAGCTGCTCTTCTGCAGTCAGACATCCAGGCTATCTGAGGGGCTTCAGTAGCAGAAGGACCGCACTATAAGATATCAAATGATTTGGCAATGCATGAAGCTGCGTCCATTGATCTTAATGTAAAATCGTTCCATCCTCAGCAGTCATCAGGTGTGGCAGCATTCCTAAGCATCTTCTGAGTGTGATCTGCTCTGATCTCCTCCAGCAGTGGTAACATGCTACTGCACAGGTCACTATAACAGGGTGGGGTGGGAAGGGTAGGAACTGGTTTAACTTATGCGCAGTGGCAGGATGAAAACACACATGAACACCTCCAAACCTCATAATGCCCTGTTTCCTGTAGCCTTACAAACATTTCCCCTTTCAGCCCTGTTAGGGACCACCAAATAACCAAAGATGTCGATTGCATGTTTTATTCCTTTAAATGTGAAGATGGAATAAATGACACAAATCTGTTCTATAATGTGTCATCTAAATCGATTAAACACATGCGTGCGCGCACACACACACACACACACACACACACACACACAGAGTCACACAAATCATTATGGGGACATTCCTTAAACATAATGGTTTTTCTACTGTACAAACCGTATTTTCTATCCCCTTACCATAAACCTACCCATCACACAAAACTTTCTGCATTTTTAGACCGGCCCTCAATATAAAAAGCCAAATTGTCTTGGTACTTAATATTTGTATCTTTCATGAATAACATTTACAAAATTTTCTTCAGTAGTGCCTATCAATAATGTACCACGGTTTTAAATACATTTTAAGTATATAGAAGGTACATTCAAAAGTTTGGGGTGGTAAAAATGAAATAAATCTTTAAAATATTTTTGAAAGAAGTCTATTATTCTCACCAAGACTGCATGTATTTGATCAAAAATACAGTAAAAACAGTAATATTGCGAAATTTTATTACAATTTTAAATTACTGCTTTTTATTTGAATCCTTCAGAAATCATTCTAATATGCTGATTTGCTGCTCAAGAAACATTTCTGATTATTATAATGTTCCTTATTTTTTGTAAACACTGAACTTATCTTCCCCGGGGTCTTTGACGAATGTAAAGATCAAAAGAACAGCATTTATTTGAAATACAAATATTTTGAAACAATATCTTTAGTGTCACGCCTTAAAAAAAGGATTAATTTCTTTCAAACAAATAAAGTTTGCATGATAGGACTAGGTGTTATGATCCCAATATTCAGCACCATTTAGCCGCACCGTAGAACATTTTCCCTGCACTGTGAGCAGAACACAGCGAGACGCAGCAATTGTTACGCTCTGATTTTGGTTCAGCAAGAATCCAGGATCATGGCCTAATCCATGTCCGTGGTACTTGCCTTAATACCCAATAATCAGTTGTGAATTTACAATTGCTTTATGCGTGACTGGGGAACAATAATAGTGCATCTCGTCAGAAATAGTGGCTGCTTCTTTCAGCGACAGTGGCCAGTTCCCTGATTATCCTCTGCTGGACCTGTCCTCTGATGCCCAACTCCTTCAGCAGCCTGTTAGTGGAGCTAGCCACAAAGCCCCTGCAGCCCACTTCCACCGGGTATACTTTCACTGTCTAGCCCCACTCCTCTGCCTCAGCTGCCAAGTTGGCATATCGCAGCTTCTTCCTTTCAAAGGCCTCGTCAATGGCCTCTTCCCAAGGGACTGTCAGTTCGACTATTATGATGATCCTACTGGAGTTGGACCAGAGAACTAGGTCTGGGCACAGATTGGTGACTGCAATTTCAAATGGGAAAGTGAGTCTGTGGATTAAGTCGACTGGCATTTCCCAGTCCCTGGCTATATTGTTGGACCAGAGAACCAGGTCTGGGCGCAAATTGGTGACTGCAATTTCGAATGGGAAAATGAATCTGTGGATTAAGTCGACTCACATTTCCCAGTCCCTGGCTATATTCAGCTGGCCTGCGTCAGGGGACAGTTCTCCCCTTCCCTAACAAAGGACTGCCTTTTTGGTAAGGTATTCTTTGCATTTTGGGGGATGGCGTTTGTTGACACTCTCTTGGTCTCTATTGCTGCCGCCAAGCACTTCAGTACTTGATTGTGGTGCCATGTGTACCATCCCCGTGTCAGGCTGGTCTTACAACCCACCAAGATATGTCTGAGGTTTGCCGGGGCTGCACAGCAAGTGGCCGGCTGGGTCTTGTCCACACCATACCTGCAAGTTTTTTGGAGAGGGCAACACATCATATGTGGCTCTCATGATAAATTATATAAATAAATAACTAAAGAACTACTGACTCCAAATTTAATATGAAGAATGAAAAATCCATTAAAAATCATTACAATTAAAAAAAATTGTCTGTATGTATATGTTTTTTAATGACCTTTGGGGCATTCTGATCTTGAAATGATTTTTCTTTGCTTTCAGATGGTCTGCATATGGGGATCAACTGTGGTTGCATTGAAAGGAAAAAGTATGAACCCCCAGCAAGCTGCTGCCGCTGAAGGCCTGGAGAGATGCCTGACGGCCCGCTGGCCATGTCTCTGAAGAGCACCCCGTGCCGCGATGACCTCTTGAATTAGAGCCAAAGCACAGTGGCTGGCCGACACACTTTTCCCCCTGATTTCCCATCGATTCCTGTGGACGCATCCTCATACTGTCCCTGCAGTTAAATAGTGCTGTTATTGAAGTGGCTGTCAACAGGTATGTGATCATTCTAATGCTCTGCTGTGGACAGGATCAGTACGGCATCTTTTGTATCTACTGATGTAATGCATTATGCTGATTTGCCAGTGAATAAGTATGATGGATGTATAACATGGCTGTAATTGTCAGGTTTATCACCTCCCTATTGTTGACAAGACAATTTAATGATGAACAAAACCTATTTTATTACAAAAATGTTTATTACGTACTACAACTTTATAAAACAAAATGCATGGTTCATATTTACAACAGCAAAAAAATAAGACATTATTCACTCTCTCTTGCAGACACTGTGGCTGGGAGAAAACCCAGTCTTGCAGGAAGTTTCTAAGTAAATAAAGACTGCTTTGCTGTATAGATCTATACGTCATTCACAATGAGAGATCCATGTAGCTGTAACATTTCCCCACTTTTCAGGCGGTCTGGTCCTTATGTTAGTGTGGATGGGATTCTTCTCCAGAGACCTCCACACAGACAGTTCTTGATCCAGCGCTGCTCCCACTGTCTCATGGCGTTGGTTTTATTTGGGGATCTCAGCATGGTGACACAGCCACACCTAAACAGACCAGAGAGACTCATTGAGGAGTGCTGCTAAATATAGTCTGTGAAGAAAGAGTCTCTGTACAGACGCCAGCATCATGTGTAGATTGGAAAAAAAAAACAACAAAAAAAAAAGCGTAGCGCAACACAGTTGGTTTAAAAGTCTTATTTTTATATGAAAAGTAACTTCATTTATTGCCTTTATCCTTCACAGACTGTTTTTAAAAAGCAGTCATCAAAACTTCTCTCTCTCTCTCTCTCTCTCTGATCAGTAAGATTTTAATACTTTTATTCATCAAGGATGCATTAAATGGATCAAAGGTGACAGAAAAGACATTTATAATGTTACAAAAAAATGAAAACAAATGCTGTTCTTTTGGACTTTCTATTTTTATCACAGTATCCACAAAACCAATAAGCAGCACAACTAATGTCAACATTGATAATAATTTTAGTATGATATCTAAAGGATCATGTGACACTGAAGACTGGAGTAATGATGCTGAAAATTCAGCATCACAGGAATAAATTACAATATATTATATAATATAAAATATATAGTATTATTATATATATACAGTATATATATATATTAGGGCTGTCAATTAATTACAATTTTTACTCTAATTAATTACACAGTGTGGCTATTAATTAATCGCACATCAAATTTGGCTGAGAAATTCCCTACAAACGATCATTTAAAGCCATTATTGTGTTAAATGAGAAAAGCATGAAATAGATATTATAAAAAGAAACTTTAGAAATATTTTTTTCCTTTTCATTTTTTTTTTCACTATTGCTTTAATTTGTTTTTTATTAATAAAGTTTTTTTTATTAATTTGTAAACATTAAATTATACTCTAAATAAGAAACTTACCAGTATGTGGCAGTAAATCTCTGCCACACGAAAAAGTCATTGAGTCATTCATTCATTCAGTTCATTCAAACAACTGATTAATTCAGGAATTAAGTAAATGGCTCTCTTTATGATGGGCCATTGAATCATTGGTTCACCCAATTCGTTCAAATGCGGGTTCATTCAGGAATTGTGTGTTGCTCAGAGACGCACAACAGTTCTGTTGTGGCTTTAATAGGTCATCTTTGCATCAGCAAAACTGAGCAAAAGCAGACAATATGGTGTTTAAAATGTGACACAACATTAACTTCTTATTTACTGAACTGTTGTATAAAATCACATTTGCACTCGTGCTATTCGGGACAAAAACAGCACTGCATGTGAAATTGCTCTTGCTGCTCGTGTGATATCGCTTATCATCATATGATATAAATATTAGACAAAAACATTTTTTTTTTTTTTTTTTGGCCCAATATCTTGAATTTTAGGGGCACATAACTGCATTTATGGACTACATACTTGTTGCCCTGCATCATGTTTGTCAACTGTCAACTGTATGAAAGGTAAGATGACGTACAGGTCTGGTGGTTGGGCCAGTGCGTTAACTGTGTTTTCCATAACTAATTAAATTAACACAATAAACAGACAGCCCTAATATACATAATATCATTTTAAGTGTAGAGTTTCATATAATTTCATTTCATTTTAAGAATTAAAATACACATTTTATTAAATAAAAAAATCTTTATGAACTAATTTGTTGTCAATTTTAATTCAAGGAAATTTAATTTCAAGTGATACCTGGTGCAGGCTTTGCTATCTTCTGTTGGAGAGATGCCCAGATGTAAACATCGCAGGTGGTCCATCCTCTGAGATGCTGGACTTCTGAAACAACACCACCAAAACGGTAATGCACTACATAACGGTAATGACTAGCAACAATTAAACCTTTTATCAGATAATTTTCTGTCAAA